GATCTTACATATGGTCTTTCTTTTTTTATTTTAGGGAAGGGTCTACAGGGTCTCACTACTAGATCAGACTTGTAGTGAGCCACCTGTTTACAGCCTCCCAAGAGCTGGGATTACAGGCACGTGCCACCATGCCCAGTCTCAATTGCCATCTCAGTATGCCCCAGGGGCGGGGCCAGCACAGCAGGCCCGGGGATCGAACCTGCGGCCCCTGAGCCTGCTTGCAGGCACTTTAATCCACTGAGCTATTTGGCTGGCCCTCTAATCTTACATATGGCCTTAATTCATTTTTTTTCTTTTTTTTATTTTCATTAGTAATATTCACCCAGTATAAAGCATCAAAGTAAAAAAGATACAGTGGAAAGTAAGTCTTTTCCCATTAGCCTTCCCTCAGCCAGATGCTACTCTGTTCTCTAAAGTATGGCTAATGGACTGAGAATCCTCCCAAATACAGTTGTGGATTAAAAAAGTATATTAATGTCTGTCTTTAGAAAGTCTGAGTATCCTCCCTTCAGAAAACAGGCAAAGAGGAGAAAATGGGGTGAGATAGACAATATAAGTGTGTTCACTGACAGCCACCATACCCTGGTGGCACTTGTTTCTACATTCACAATTATAGCTTTGAATAAAGTCAGCCAGCCTACCTCCACACAATGCTTTCTGTATAATAAACAAATATTCAAAGGGGAGCAACTGAATAAAGAGGAAAGGTGCCTACCACAGCTATTCAAAGCTTGTCAGCCAAAATACATTACAAAGGCAAGAGCCAGGAGCTGGGGCTATAGCTCACTGAGAAAGCCCTTGATTCGCAGCGCCACAAAAAAGCACCTGCAGCCCATGGAACCATTTAAATGCAAAGGATTAGAATAATGCATTGTAAGTACTAATATATAACTGGCCTGGAAAGAAAGCAAATACAAATTAGACTAATCTGTAGGTATCAAACTATACCTTTCAGAGGAAAAATATGAATAAAATTATACAATCCAAGGCTCCCCAGAATGTTGGAAAAAATCACACTTGAGCTCTACAGTGCTGATAGTTGTACAATATTAATTTCTGAAAAGTAATAAAACAGTATGACAAGCTGTGGATCTGTGCTTGAGGAGCTAGTCACTCCATTTTAGGGAATGTAGCCCACAGAAACCTTAAAAGAAATGAAAAAAATTTTAAAGGACTATATAAAAACCTCCACAGAAATATAATGAAAAAACAGTCTAAGTAGGAGACTGACTGATGCTGCCCATTAGGAAAGAATGCTATATAGCCATGGTACAGTGACAATATGGACACACAGAAATGTGCATGTAAGTGGAAACAGTATATGGTCAGGTGTGCATTAATAATTACACAGTAAACTTTATCATGTATCAATCAGGTAGCATGGTATGCTAATAAAAATCTAAACAACTTAGGGATTTAAATATGAAGGGATTTGTTGCTGTTGCTGCTGCTTGTTAATAAATACTTTCCTCTTGACTATCATAACCATCACCAGCATCACTTCTTAAGCAAATTATAGCCCAAATTTGAGGTGAAATGGATATCAAATGCCTCAGTTGCTCATGAGGCACAAAAGAAAAGCAAGCATTATCATAACACTTCTTTAAACAGCTTCTGTAGAGGGTAGGGGCTGGGGAGATAAGCGTCTGCCTGGCTAGCGCAAGATCCCAGGTTCAATCCCTGGTACCGCATATGCCCTGCCAGCCCCGAAACCAGGCATGGTGGTGCATTTTTGTAATCCCAGTGCTGGGGAGGCTCAGACAGCCGACAAGAGAATAACCAAGTCTTTTCTGATATTTATTATAGAGAACATACTTGCTTGAGCTCTACATCTGTGTGACAAATGCCTTATAGTAACATAATTAACATGTACCATAAGGTTTTGGCCCTTTATAAAACCTGGTATATGATTTCTGTATTTTTAATGATTCATCAGTGTATCTTGCATGATATGCTACTGGTCCTGCTTAATTTATTGATGCTGAGTGCTTATCACAAATATAACTGATTATTTCCCACTGAAAGAAATATAGCGTGTTTTTATCATCTATTTTACAATGCAGTTTCCAGTAACACTTGCAGAAGTCAGGAGTCACTTATTTAGTAAAGGAAGTATAGGTTAAATCCTTCATAGTGCAAATAATCACACCCAAAATTATGTTTTCTAAGTTTACATTTTCAGATAAAACAAGAGACACCAGGAAGCACCGGGATTTACTCTTTGTTTCTAACAGCACAGTGCAGAGCTCTTTACACTTCAATAAAACATCATTTAGATGACGATCAGGCTATTACTTTCTAAGAGCTTCAAAACATGTTTACAGAAGGGATGGTCTGTACCAGATAAGGATGACTGCCAATTTAAGAGTCAATAGTCCATAAACTGCCAATACAGGTACTTACTGCATAGTGCCCCTGTAGGTTAGAGGAAGCAGAATGGAGACAGACTCAGGCATTAATTAGGCCACACCAATAAAACAGGTATGTTAAGAACTCAAAAAGCATCTTTATATTTCATTCCATGTGACTGTTTACTTTGAGGTCACTGGAAATTGTCTACCAGTGAACTCAAGCTGCACTCTGTGAAGTGAACCTATGAAAGGAACAAGGCAACATTCAGTTCCCAAAGGTTAAGGAAAGCCAAAGGCTAGTGAGTTGTCTCGGACTGGGCCTAGTAGAGATTGTATCAATCTCTAGGATCTGTCACTACAGAAAGTGTAATTGCTGGCCATAGCAGTTAAACTCTACCATTCAATCCTGAGTTGCAGCTGAAATACAAGGCGAAAATCCACCATACATCACTGCATCTTCAACAAGTCCAGACTTCCCATGGGCACCTCTCAGGGTAGCAATCACTAAGGTAGATCATTTCTTTTCTATTTATGTGTGTGTGTGTGTGTGTGTGTGTGTGTGTGTGGCCAGCTCAGCACACCAGGGGGCGGGGCTGGCTGGCATGTGGTGCTGGGGGATTGAACCGCGGTCCCTGTGCTTTGCTAAGCTTGTTCTAAGTAGGTGCTTTAGACCACTGAGCCATCTCACCAGCCCAGGTAGATCGTTTCTGTAAGACATGGTTGCCCTGGGGCTGGTGAGATGGCTCAGTGGTCTAAAGCACCTACTTAGAACAAGCTAAGCTAAGTAAAGCACAGGGACCGCGGTTCAATCCCCCAGCACCACATGCCAGCCAGCCCCGCCCCCTGGTGGGCTGAGCTGGCCACACACACACACAAAATAAATAAATATTTAAAAAAAAAGACATGGTTGCCCTTAACAGGCAACTTCAGGCCAGGGAAGATTTCAAACCTCACAAAGGAAGGTATAGTAAACCTGCCATTTGCTTCCCAAATATAGCAAGTAAACAGACTTCATGAGTTAGAACAAGTCAGTTTATTTTAGCATAACAAATATCAGCATTCAGTTTCTTCAGCTTCCCTGCCCCTGAGTCCCACAGAGCAATGCAACAGATTCAGATGGATGCTACATGTGTGGGAATTACATTGCAGCTGAAGAATTTGAGGTTAAGAGTTTGGAATTCTCAGGAAATGAGCCAGTGCCTTTACCCTGGAAAATGAACAGCCAAACAGGAGTTGCATGTGTCTCCCAGCCCTACTTAGTTGTCTTTTGACTCTGCAGCAATAGGTCAGTATTAGAAAACAGATGAGCCTTGCACTTGAAGATATTCACAAAGAACATGAGGGGACGCTCAGGGCCTAGCATATGCTACCTCTCCCAACAGACACATCTGTTTTGCTGAACCTGACTTAGAACTAGCTTGCACAATAAAAGACTTTTCCTACTCACCCTTTCTGCCTTGAAAGTGCAAACAATTCAAATGTCCACATAGGAACAAAATGCAGTACAGTAATACCTCAGCTCACAAACGCTTCTGTTCACAATTTGCTTCACAAACAAACATGTCCAGCAAAATTTGGCTTCCGTTCACAAATTCTGCATTGGGTGCCAAGCACAACCACAGCCATCTTCCCCACACAGATGCAAATGCTGCCATCTTCCTCAAACTCAAAACAAATTAAGTTCGGTGCCAAGAGACAGCTCAGGAGTCTAAAGCGCCTGCTTAGGCAAGCTTATGCAATCACACAGGGACCACGGTTCAATCCCTGGCACCACATACCACAACAACCCTGCCCCCAGGGTGGGCTAAGCCGGCCACAAAAAAAAATTAAGTTCATCAACCAAAGCACCACTGTCTATCTGTACAACCAGGATAAAAAGGAATAAAGTCCTACCACATGCTACAAAGTGGCTGAACCCTGAAATCATTTGACTAAGTGAAAGAAACTAGGCACAAGAGGCCATTATTGTAGGATTTCACTTAAATACCCAGAATAAGCAAATCCATAAAAAGAGAAAAGATTGTTGGAAGACAGAATGAGAAGTTACTGCTTAATGAGCATAGAGTGGGAATAATGTAAATGTTTTGGAACTAGATAGAAGCAGTGTTAATGTAACAAATGCCACTGAACTGCTTAACTGGTTATTTTATGTTAGATGAATTTCACATCAATAAAAATAAATAAGCCAGAAGGAAAAATGCAAATATAACAATTAGAGACAAAACAAAAACTAAAAGATAAAAAAAAATGTAAAAACTGTTAGAACTGGCTATTCTTAAGAGCTTACCACATCCACATGAAATAGTCTGAACCTAGTAAGCCACACTTCTCTATAGTTCATCCTGCCAGCTAGAAAGGTCATACAATGTTCAGCTCTAAATATCTAACACGAAGACTAGAATTCTAGAGTAATCTGGTATTTTCCCCCTCCTGGCAACTTGCATCTAAAATTGGGGTCTATGGGTTCAAGAGCCATATTTACAAACCAAAATCTAGGACACATAAAGTTCCAGGTATATTCCCAGCAACAATTACTCATACTAAAAAATTTAGGACATCTGGCTGTTGAAACTATAGCCCTCTCGCAACAAATACTGTGAAATTCATATTACTTTGTTAAGTGAAATTCTGTATCCCTTGTAATTTTTTCTTTAATTCTAATTTGTACTCTCTTCAAAAAATAAAGTAAAAAAATAGAAGTCAAAAAAAAGAAAGAAACTATAGCCCTCTCAATGAATCTATGCAAGAAAGTAAAAGAATTCAGCCTCAGAGATTTTATATACAGAAATGTTAGCACCATTGAATTTCTTTACATATTTAAATCAACTGAGCAGCTAGAGGAGACTTTAGTGACGCCTACGGTCACAGGGATTAGAGGACTCCTGCTCCCAGGAGCGATGGACCTTTTTATGTCTATAGGATTTATCTCGGCTCCTACTTCTACTTCTATGACTCTGCCCTTCAGAATGCCCACAGCTCCTACTTCTACTTCTATGACTCCGCCCTTCAGAATGCCCGCTACGCCGGCTGGAATGTGCATCTGAGCTTCGCCCTCTGTCTCGATCCCTGTGCTTGTCTTCTCTCACTTCCTTCCTGCTTGAGGACTTGTGCTCATACTTGAGTTTCTCCTTCTTTGGCTCCTTCTCTGGCTCCTTCTCAGAGTCCTTTGCACTACCACGGCAGGAAGTCCTAACCTCAAGGGAGTCTGGGTAGTGCTTTCTCCCTTCTCTGGCCTCAGGCTTCTGAACCCTCTCCAGGGTGTTGCTGCTGTGTTTCTTAGTGCCAGGCTCATCCTTTTCCTTTATCATCCTACTTCTGGGAAGTGAAGAGGAAGATGGCTGCACTGCCTGTACCTCCTGGGTAGTCTTCTCTTTGTCTTTCTTTTTTTTCTTTTTTTCTTTTTTGTCTGGAAACATAAAGGGGACAATCAATAAGAAAAGGAAACAACAAAAATAACTCCCTAAAAATGCCTTTCTTCTCCAAGTACAACATGTCAAACCAAAATATTATAATTCAAAAATGTTCCCATGCTAGCAGACAGAAAAATGTGCATAAAATGGCAGTGGGACATGCTCACAGGCTATATTCCCAGAAAAGTACCTCTGAGAAATCATCTTGAGTATCTGTCACCTCTGGTATGTTAAACTGATGCACAAGGCAATCCCCATCCTGAATTACTTCTCTAAAAACCCTATCTCCAAATATGCACATTCTGAGGTAGTGGGTGTTAAAACTTCAACACATCAATTTGAGGGGATACAATTCTGCCCACACTACTAACCTTTCTGACATCCTCCCTCTTCCATTTAAAGTAAGGACCCCTACATCTTCCCCTTTCACATTTAGGAGTTGACTATTAACTATGCATGAGTACAAGGAAGAGAAGACACTAAGCCTATCTCATGGGTCTTAACACTACCTTTTTTGAGGCATTTTGTGGGTCTGTCATCCTCAGATGAACTCGGTGGGGGAGTGGTAGCCCCACAGCCCTTCTCCTGGAGCTCTCTGGTCACATCATCCATTTCATCTGAGTCCTTAGGAGCCCGATAGTTTGAGACATGATCCACGCGGATAGTTCTCCCTTTGATCTAAGCAAAATGGGCAATAAATGCTTGAACAAAAATCTTCATATCAAACAATTTGAACCCAAGCTATGGAGAACCATGGTTTGAAACATTACCTTCATGCTAATTGTTTCTGTGGAAACCATAAAACAGATATGCTCATCTGGTGTGTCAGAGCACACATATCTGACTAGTAATACACTCAGCACTCAAGGTAGCCAGGTGGGACCATGCAAATATCACTATACTATGTGTGTGGCATGAAATTAAAAAATCTGGGACAGACCTCCAAAACACAAGCATCAAGAAAGACTGAGAATTTAGGAGCACAATGAATTACCTTCAACCCGTAAATATTAATTTACAGTAAAATATGCCCTAGAAAAGTCTGCTATCTAGACAGAATTCCTGAAATCTGCCTTAGTTACAGCTGCTTTTTAAAGACAGTAATTAGGAAGAAGCAAACTAGAACATCAGCTGGGGTGAGGGGTTGGAAAAAGATTACTTTTTCCTAAACCCCTCACAGCTTGCTCTAGTCCCCACCACCACCATCATCCCCATACCTGCACACTCAGTTCAGATTCTTGTGCTATAAACTACAACTCTCCAAGTGAACAACAAAATTAACCCTTCACTGAAACACATGTTACTTGCAAGTAGATGCAGACTTATTCCTGATGGCAAAGCCATCTGAAATCAGAAAAATTTGGCTTTTATTGTCCCAATACAAGAGCAAATTTTTATTTTTTTTAAACCTGAGATACTTCTGTCACCTATCCTATTCCTCATTTTGAAATTTTTTAAAAACTTTTTTTTCTTTGACTCTGACTGCTGGCTCCCTTAAAATTTCAGGACGACTTACTTTTGTAGAATTTCTCTTAGATTTTAATTAGTGAATTTCCAAGGCTGAGTGTGCTAGGTCATGGGAGTCATACAGCAGACATGCATGGCTATGTCATGAGTCATCACGAATTCCTAGGTACCCTGGCATATGACAAAATGGAAGGGCAGTATTTGCTACTCTCTTCAGTCAATAGTACACTAGAGATGAGAGTGGAGAAGGAGAAAGGAAAGGTAAAAAAATGGAGGCATGCATTACAAGTGGAGAAAGGTACCCATGATCCTGGGAAGACTGGTTAACAGGTGGAGAAAAGGAACAAACCAAGGCAGGGCCAGGAGCCAACATAATTACTTCCTAGAATCATTTCCTAACATGTTTATCTCCATACCTCTTCAGTCCTTACAACACACACAGCTGACCACCACTATCCCTGCAACTGGGAAGACCAGGTGAAAAATGAAACCTAACTTCTAGACAAAGGCAAAGTCTAGCCAAATCCTGCCTAATAAACACACTTACCTTAATTCCATTAAAATTGTCAACAGCCAGAATTGTGCTCCTCTGATCTTCATAGCAGAGGAAACAGAATCCTTTGGATTTCCCAGTCTTCTTGTCTCGCACAAGATTAATATTAACAATCTCCCCATACCTATTTTATAAAACACACAAATGAATTAAAATATAAGCACTTTCAGATTGGATGATAAAAATTCAAATAATATAGTCTACACAGAAGATTCCTTCAGAACAAGATAACATAGAAAGACTAAAAATAAAAAAACTAGAATAAACCATGAACAATACTAAGAATAAAAACAACTTCAAGCCTGAGATATAAGAGGATCACAAGTTTGATCCCAGCCTGGGCAATTAGCCAGGTCTTCTTCAAAATTAAAAAAAAGTTAAAAGAACTGGGAAGTTGCAGATAGAGCTCAGTGCAAAAGTCCTGGGTTCAAATCCCAGTTTTTTGGTGGCTACAGAAGTACATTAAAGGCAAAATTAAAAACATTAAGTGGAACTAAGAGACTATTTTACATTTAAAAAGGGCATGACTTGTAAACATGTATTACATTTAAGAAACCAAAAATTTTACTTAAAAATACTATTAAAATATGAAGAGCAAGAGTTAGGAGGTAATTTAACACTCAGAAATAAAACCATAGAAATTAATGTAAAATTATACAACAAAATAATTTTATTAACAAACTGTTATACTAGAGACCATAAACTTAAGTGAAAAAAATCAGATACATATGTGCAAACATTATATTGTCTCTTTAGTGTGACAACCTGAAAGAGAAAATAAAATCTGAAGGGTACAACAGATACTGTGAGGGGCCGGGGAGATGGCTCAGTAGAATAAGCACTTGCCTGGCAAGCACAAGGGCCTGAGTTCAATCCCCAGTTCCGCCAAAAAAAACCCAGATACTGTGAAAAGGGAATGAATCTTTCCAAAAGGAAAGAATCTCTGAGATGAGGAGGAAGACAGGAAAGAGGGGGAAAGAGATATATCTATGTATTTAAGCAGGATGGTTTGTACAACTGCATTGTAGATTTTTTTTTTTTGGTGCTGGGAATCAAACTTATGACCTTACATTTGCCAGGCAGGCGCTGTGCCACTGAGCTATATGCCTTGCCCAAGTACTGCAGATTTCTGCTCATCTATGAAAAGGAGCAGTTAATGCTTTTTTTTGGCTCTTAATTTCTTACGACTTTTTCTTTCTTTTTCCAATTCTGCATGCATGTATCTGGTAATCGAAACAAGTTGAAGACAATACTGTACAATATAACAAATATTCTCAAATTTGTATTTTTAGTGAAACGCTGTATCATTTCTAATCTTTTATCACCATTTTGTACTTTTTGAAAATAAATTTAAGGGCTGGTGAGATGGCTCAGTGGTCTAAAGCACCTACTTAGAACAAGCTCAGCAAAAGCACAGGGACCACGGTTCAAACCCCAGCACCACATGCCAGCCAGCCCCGCCCCCTGGTGGGCTGAGCTGCCCCACACACACACACACACAAATAAATAAATAAGAAAATAAATTTAAAAAGTCATATGAGTAAACATATTGATACTGTAAATCCTATAAGGAAATGATTGTTTCTTTTGAAGAATTCAGAAAACATTAAAACTGACTATACATTATGCCTTAAAGTAACTTCAAGACTACCCTGGGGGGGCTGGGGAGATGGCTCAGTGGTCTAAAGCACCTACTTAGAACAAGCTCAGCAAAACAAAGGGACCGCTGTTCAATCCCCCAGCACCACATGCCAGCCAGCCCCGCCCCCTGGTGGGCTGAGCTGGCCACACACACACACACAC